ATGGTGGTGCTGACGATGGCGGTGGTGCCGAGTGCCGTTCGGTGCCGCTGTATAGGGGCTCCGGGCGGCGCGGGGACTTATCGGGCTGGCGCCGGCTGCACCGGCACGGCTCTGCGCCTAATCCTCCATCAGAGATCGGGTACGAACTAATCAGCGACCCTGTCGCCGCCCGGGGGCACGCAACGGTCACCGCCAGGGTCACGAGACAATTTATCACTCACCGGGTGGAACAGTGCTGTCACGTCGCCCGGGACGACATGACACGAAAAGGTGACCTTGGATGAGACACGGCTGTGTTGTCTGGGGCGTGACGACACTCGAAAACTGGCCGAACTGCACGGGAGAAAGGCGGTGCTACTATTTAGCAGACTGAGTCTGTGGTTTTCCCACGTTAGAGACGCCACCAGGTTCAATACGCTTACAAGCGCGTGAAACGCCGCCTGTAGAATCCCACGTGTGGTGTGCGTACCAGCACACGCGTGCGTGCGCCCGCCCCTCCCTTCCGGGCTTCCCCTACACATATTGGGACCGTATTCGCATTCACGACGCTATCGGCACGCATCAGGAGCGTAATTACGCATTGTTGCGTGTCGGCTGCGGCAGTGCGCATATTGTAGCACACGACTTGGCCAGTGTTTCACATGACAACGGTCCCACGGATGAAAACATCGACTGTCCTGCCAATGGGCTGCGGTCACTGACATGGAACCAGCATTTGCACACAATGAAAACTGCAAGACGGTTGAGGTGAATTCATTTTCAAGCTACATAAAGTGAGCCATAGATCGTAATAAAACATTATTTGCTCTGCCGTGCGCTGTCCTAAGCATTGCCAATGCTGTCCACCTGAAGACTATAAGCACCCAATAATGCTTCATCAAAATGAATAACTCATTTTACTCATGCTTGTTTCACTAACAGACCCAAAGCGAGTCCTTAAAACTTCGACCATTTTTGAATATAAATGAAAATGAAACCAAAACATCCATCCAAAGACTTCACTAACCAGCATTCCCTCCGCAGGCGTCCAGTACACAGCCTTGGTGTACGCCTTCAACAAGAAAGGCGCCAGCCCGCGGGTGCGCATCACAGTGGCTACCCAGATGGCAGCCGAGCAGAGGACCGGAAAGTCGACACAAGGTATGTTCTCTTGGAAGGGGCATGACCCATGACTGTGTTTTTAGAATGCATTGTATGCAGAGGTCCATGCAAGTGCGTTATGAGATATCACAAGTCACGGAAAATCGTAAGCATTCCAGCACTCGAAGCAGCTTGGGAAAGTGTTATGGGTGTTTTGGAAATCATCTATACTAGATGGGTTGTCGTACAAATCAGCTAAGTACAACCAAGCTGCTGTCACATTCCCCATACACCTGCGTTATCATACGCTCACACTCATCCATCTCACCATCGAATGCCTCATTCCTGTGCCGTACCCTGTGGGTCAGCAGCTGCAGACAAGAGCCTTGGACGGAAAGCAAACGATCAACGCTCACTCATGCTGCCGATTTAGCTCTCATATCAGAGTGTCTGCTTACCACTACGGAAAATTGATGTGGGCTCGGCGCGGCTTTGATTTACTGGCATGTTGATTGGGGTGATTACGGCTGGCCGGCTGTCGGCTAATGGCAGACTGTGAGTGATATAACGCCGAATAATAGTATGGCCATGGTATGGCATACTGTTAGTTCGTGGCTTGTGCCTCGGCTTTTAGAAAGAGTCGTTAGTGTGATGTGTTTATAGTGATATCCGCCACCGCCAGGCTGCCCATGACTAAATGTTCGCACAGGCTAAATACACCGCACATTTAGGTATCTAGGTCAAAATGGATGTTTTCTCGCAAATACGAATGACGTCAGCTCCCTATTTGGCATTCTTTCCGGTTTAGTCTCTACCGAGCAGCTATACCAGAAAACATTTGGTGATTTATTCCTCGGCTCCCAAAAACAATCAACCTTTCTATTCCAACGTTGTTGAACCAATTTCATTGCAGTGTGGCATGTTACTGCCAGCACGAGAATTTTCAAAATAACAGTGCGGGGTTTGTTTTCCTAGAATTCCGTGATGAAAGGGGTTAAATATGTAAGCAATTATAGGTAATGAGAAACTGCTGAAGACAAACACAAAGCAATAGTTCCGAAACGACATTCGCTGAATGTATACTCGATAAGTTGTGCAGAAGAGTGGAAGACTATAGCGCAAAGTTAGGTAAGGGTCAAGGGACAAGGGTAATATCAGGGCAAACTGTCCAGTGAAGATATTGTAACCCTTTGACCTTTTTCGCTTTGTATCATGATCAGATACATCTTATTTACCTATGAATTACCTATGAAATGCCAACATATTTGCTCATTAGTCCACATCGCAGAAATGTACCATGCATCCTCCCTCAACAAAACACAAACTGAACTTCCATATACATCATTTCAATCTGCCCTCATTTGATCCCACTTTTCCAGGCCCCACACCACTGGCATCCTGTCGTCACAAGTACCGCAGTGTTCTCTCACCCCTCGCTCACCATATCCCTCTCACTCGTCACAGGCTCGATGGCGGAGCGCCGGCCCGGGGTCGACTGGACGCCGCTGGTGGGCGTCATCGCCGGCGCGTCACTGGCCGTGCTAGCCTGTGTGCTGGCCGTCATCGCGATGGTCCGGCGCCGCTCCAGCAGACCGGCCAAGTCGCCGGCCAAGTCGGCCGCCGGTCTGTCAGAGTGCGACGAAAACAATCCAGACGTGGTTCCGTCACTATCAGGTGGGTGGATGTCTTTAGAGGTGAGAGGTGAAAGGTCAGGTCTTTCAGCCTAGTGCCGTCTTTCCTAGGTAAGCAATGCTGTTGGGCAAACTTTGCCCCTTTACTGTATGTGAGACTCGTCTTTCCTAGGTGAGCTGTGAATTCCGTTTCTGCTAGGCAAAATGTTCGCATGTGATAGACATCATTTCTGTGACATGACAGAGACTGCGCTTTCATGTGAGCGGCGTTTCTCTCGGATCGGATTAACTCGTCTCTGTCAGGTAAGCGCCGTCTCCCAGGTAATTTAACACTCTGCGACGCAACCCTCCCCACCAGACCAGAACTCGTGTCCCCCTCCCCCCCCCCACCACCCCCCCCCCCCCCCACCCCCGCCAAGCAGCACCAATCTGCACGTTTCAGTTGGTGGTCGGCTCGACCATGACAGACGAGCTGTCGGCTCGCCGGCCAACTCCCGGATGAGTTCTGAGTTATGCCCCGGCCATCGCGAAAGCGCCGCCCAACTGATGATACTACCAGCGAAACGGTCAATACGTGTACTGACTCACTCAGGCCAGATATCGCTGCTGCCGTTTGGGCAAGCATATGTGAAAGCCAAAAGGTTTAGATACAGGATATCATTCGATGATACATAGGTTTGAAGGGTGGGCTGTTGGGTGAGTTTCTGGTTTCTGACCAGCCGTAAAATCTCGCATTTGAAGATAGCATATGTTGAATCGCTCTTTTTAAAGCAGGTCACAACAAGGCAGACAGCTCTGTCAGACTTGACAAGACCTCGTGTCCACATATAGATTGGCAGGCTCGCAGCGTTCATCTTGGAAGGACGACAGACCCGCAATGACAGACTCTGTTAGGCAGGCCGTCTTGATATGATAGGCAATAGGCCGTCTTGTGCTTAGGCAACAGGCAGGGCACGCAGTAACAGTTTTTGGACTAGGTACACATAATTATGTGAAGCCTTTGCATAGATAAGTTAAAAGCTTGGTTACGATTTTGGACGCTCTTCGTTAATCTGCCAGAGCTTTCCTTTCGTTTGTTTGCCATAATTTTCGTGCGAAATGGGTTACTTGTCCACACAGGCCAGGTTAAGCATGATAGATGAACCTTTTCCATCTTCCTTTGCATCTTCCTTCTGAGAGTTGGGTAATATTTTATTCATCATTTGCAGGGCGGTCTCGAGGCTGAACAGAGATGCTTCGCAGTTTGTGTCTGTGTTTCCAGGAAACCGTTTTCGACTTCTGGGACCGACTCTGTACAAAAGCATGCAAAAGACAATTACCATCCCTTTTCATAGAAGCATTATTCACGCAAATTTGTTTACGGAATCTGCCTCGTTGGCTGTCACAATTTCCGGCCCACCATTGACATTTTCCATTTTTGCGCTGACGAGGCACGACATAAGGGCAGTAGAGTCCCCACGGGAGAGAGGCGGAACAAGCCGAGACATAACCTGGCGGAGACAGCACGCACACAAAACTCAGATCCGCTTACATCAGCCGACTGGGTAGACAGTCTAGAATATTCTATCTTCTTGCTGCTGCTCAGGCTGGTTTATTCAATTCAAAGACAACAATGCAAAATGAAATAAGACGCTCTGCATTTTAGGAATCTTGTATACGCTTTCGTTTTTGGATGAACGAAGAGTGTTTTACACTGGCCCAAAAGTATTCTCGTGAATATACTTACCTACAAATTGTATTTTAACTGAGAAATGAACATCTTTCATCTTGCGTAAGTTTCATTTGAAAATTCATTCCGCTGAGCTGTCCTGGTGGGTACAGAGCCAACTTCAACTAGGCCATTCTTCTTGCATAGCTGATTCTGCGAAACTGAGGCCGGCGCAGCTCGTTCCATTTTCATTACTGTTGGGCGATGAGCTCGTACAGCTGCCTGCTCCAGAGGGACGTCTCCGGTGCGTACTGCCGCTGCCGCCCCGGGGACCTGCTCCGCAGTTCCGGTAGAGGAGCAGCCTGCAGCACAGCGGAGAGGAGCACGGCCGACGCCGCCCGATATCATGGCCCGCGGCGTCCAATGAGACTCTGTATATCGTGCTGATGGGCCTGAACGGCGTCCGAACAGGCCGTTATGACCGCGGCCGACCCTGAGACAGAGCTCGCGACTCGGCGGCGCTGAGGTGGACGCTCTGTCGGATGTGGGCTGTTTTAGCTCATAAAACAGGGCGTCCCTCACTGCTAGAATTGGTTGTTGTGATATTCACAAATGCAAAAGCATTTGCAAGTACCCGCTTTTCGTGTTTGCAAAAGAAACCACCGTTGTCGGGGTTGATATAAACTATGAAATATAAATAATATTTTAGACACATTGTTATGTAAGTACAAGAAATATGCGGGTGAGTCAGCCATTCCAAGCAGCTCGGCTAATAGCAAGTTACAGCAACTACGTGCAATGATTGAACTTGTGAAGCTTTACGAACAAACACATCGTATTTAAGATATTTATTTGGTCAACAGCAGGCACACAAATAACCAATCACTCTGAACTCATGTGTCAGAAACTTGTTGGGAAACTTTCCTGTACACTGTTATGTCCATTAACTAAGCGTTTGTTCTTTGTTTCGTTGCAGACGGCTGCTCGAGGGGAGACCCGATGGAAGAGCCCCGGCTGACAGTCGTCAGGGACAACTGCCACACCGAGCTTTACAGCCCGCACCCGCTCAACCACGTCAACTTTGCAACGTTTCAGGTCAGCGATAACTCATACCGCGACCACGGGGTCTGGTAGCACTATAATCAGGATGTAAGGCAGATATTGGTGTTTTTTGCGGTAAGTATCATTGTCAACGTTTCTGTGAACCTCTAGCTCCAGAAATAAAGGATTTGCCGTGTAGTTTTCCGAGTAATGTAATCCAAGCCGGAAAGCGATTTGCTTGACACGATCTTTTTTTCCTTCCGTAATATTTTTATATTCTAATTGTATGTTTATTTTCCCCACACCACTTCTGCTCGTGTCGATTTCGAGTTACCATGACAACTTGTCACCCGGCCACTTCATTTTGACCGTCATAAAAAACATTTCACCTTTTTAACGTTTAAATTTTCATTTATATCGTAATTTAATGCAATCAGTAGTCGAGTTAACCAACATGAACTCCATTTTTATAAAATGTATTGATTATCTTGAAAACAGGTGGTTTCGGAGCAGTCAAGCGCAGTGTCTTAGCATTTATCATGGCACACGTTAGACAGTGATATCACGCACTACACAAGGCAAAACGCCCGATATCTCGCTAAACCTCTTAGCCGCCGAGGGTCGGTATTTGAGCAGGTGATTAAACAGCTCGGTTGACACCGTACCGTCACGCGCGTGCGCTCGACACTTTCATCCATCACGTGCACGTCACTCCGAGGGCGTAGGATCGCCGCGGGGTCACAGGATCGGGATCTCGTGACCTGAGGGCTCACCCCGCGGATCCTGGGAAGTCGCTCTTCATTTCATGACAACTCGGCTTATAGAGGCCTCCTCCGCGACCTCATTAACGCTGCAAGTCGGGTTTGTGCTTGCGGTGCTGTGCTGTTGTGCATGGCACCAGCTATTCTGACGCCGTAGAAAGAAGCTTTGTGTATTGTGTAGGTGGTTTCTCGGTATCAAAGGTTTTGGAAGCCGATTTACTTGTGAGATCGTCCTGATCACGTTGCTAGATAATTTATCAGGTTTGGTAAGATCGTAAATATGTTGCATCTCTGAATGCTTGAAATGATGTAAAGCTACATTGAAATTGCTTTCCACTCTCAGGTTAGGTGCATATGTTACAGGCAATGTGTGGAATCAGGCATTCTATAGAATGCCTAGGCATTCTATAGAATGCCTGATCGACCAGGCATTCTATAGAATCCCTAGGTATTCTATAGAATCCCTGACTGCTTAGGCATTCTATAGAATGCCTGGCTTAAGCTCCCAGGCATTCTATAGAATGCCTAAGTATTTTGATTGTCCGAAACACACTTCGAAAATTAGGGGTCAATGGCAGTAATGCTATTTGTTTACCTAATTTTCATTGTTCGCCTAGGCCGGTCGTCACCTCACACCATTTCAGGGCAATGAGCTGAGAGGAAGCGAGGGAGGTATTGGGCTATGCCGACCACCAAATGGTGCACCGCAAGCAGCAGCTGATCCAATTCCGTTGGCACGGGAGAGCCACGGCGCAAGGCACGCGGGAGAGTCACAGGCCAACCAGTCGCTTAACCCTATTCCTGGCGGGGGGGGGGGGGGCCTCAGGAGCCCCCCCTGAGGTTTTTTGGTTATTTCTCCCAAACGCGTTGAGCTAGGAAGCTCAAATTTTCTGACTTTTCCTAAAAGGCTTCTACGCAACATGTCTGAAAATTTTGAGTTGATCTGACCTCAGGTCAGGTCAGGTCACCAGAGGCGGTTTGGTGACCATACCTCAGAAAAGTTTGCAATCACGCCAGAGCTAGAGTTTTTGACCGATCAATTTCTTCTCTTCAGGGTTTAGTTAGAGTACCAGTATGTGCAATTTGTATATCTCGGAATTTTGATATCGGTGACCTAAGGTCAGGTCAGTTTCGCGACCTCCCCATTATAAGTCAATGGGGGAAAAATCAACTCCCTGTTTTTACCACTAAAACGGGTCGGAATGGCCCCATATACCATACATGACTTCATATACGATCAACCTTCACTACCTTGAGGTCTGTTTTGCTGTTGGGCAGCTGTGAGGTCATGTGACGTCATCAAAGGTCACCAAAGGTTTTTGACCAATAACTCCGTACAGGAACAAGATACAGACGCGTGGATGGTCTCATTGTGTTCAGCTCGTCAAGACGCATCGAATGATATACATGATGACCTCGAGGTCACGTGACCTGAGGTCAACCTTTGACCTTGACCTTTCGAGGTCAACATATATATCATTCGATGCGGATTGACCAGAGGATCACGATGATGCCCTTAGTTTGTTCCTATCTTGACTAATCCGAAAGTTATTCGAGAAAAACTCTCTCCATATCTAGCGCCGCCATTTTGACTTTTTCGACCCCTGTGACGTCATCTTTGACCTGACCTGAAAATGACCTTAGTAAAAATTGTAGATCTTGACCGTGCGTATCCGATGCCATTTACCATTTGTCGCTATCTTGCTTCGTTCTCGAGATCTCAGGGGGGGGGCCGAATCGGCCCCCCCCCCCCCGCCAGTTTCTTGTCCCGGCGGAGCCCGCCAGGAATAGGGTTAAACGGTTACCCTCGGAGGATTATGCTGCTACAGATACGAAGCTGCATTAGAAGAGTGTTGGCTGGGAGGGTGGACCGTAGGCTTGAATCGAATTGTGATTGCGAATGACGATGGCTTTGTTCTGATGCTAGAAATGAAGGTGAAAAATACACCAAAGGTCACATTTTATGTCGTCATAAGCACTTCGTGTAACGACTCTCAATATACATACATGGACAGCTCAACCTACACCGTAATGTCAGGGAATAACCTGAATAAATGGTTCATTATTCCACGTCTGGGCGGTGGCCCGGCCGTAACAAGAGCCGGATTAGGTGTTGTTTGATCTCCCCTTCCAGCTTGACTTCTGGGCCATGCGGTATTCGAAAGGTCGTCAAAGACTCAAAATTATGAAATTTTACTTCAGTTCTTCTTTGGCAATGTTCGAAAGGGTGCCATTTCTAAAACAAATAGCTAAGCCATTTTTTAGGTCAGCCCAATTTTTTGTCCATTTTTGGCTCGTAGCCGTTTTCTCCACTTAGACCTTAAATCAATTCCTTAGAAGGCAAACACCTCCAAAAATGGACGACTTGTCAATTTTTTTTTCTGTGTAATTTTTTTTTTTACCAAAGGCGTTTCCGATATTGGCATTACCACCATCGTCTTTCTAGCGTTAAGATAAATACTCTGTACTTTCAGAATGAAATCCTGATACAATTTGACCTAATAAGGTCAGATTGAATACCTGACCGGAAATAATTAGATAAATAAAAGAAGTTGACCTTTTCCTCGACATCAAAAATGTAAAAAGCCGAATAATATATTTTAAAAAACGGTGAGCTTTCGGCCACTGGCCTTTATCAAACCAACGTGATAACAATGTTAAAAGACGATCCTGTGAATAATCTGTCTGCCATTTTTCAAAAACCGAAGATCGTGATATTTTAGGAAAGGCGCTACTCATAAGGGCAAACTATTTGATAGACCGATTGTCTACATAGTGTCCGATGTACGTAACATACATAATATACAATTGTACACGTAGCTGTCAAACACACATCGTATGGAAGGTATGTACACTAACGCCGATGTACATCACACACATAACAAAATAATATACACATACACATATTAATCGATTGAGTTGAAAAGGCTACACGCTCACAAGATACACATGATACAGGCGCTTACATGATTGGCCACGACGAAAGATTTGAGTTTATGTGCGGGCGGTTTGCTTTTATAAGTAGGGATTCTGCGATTTTTCTGTCCGGGTGGTCTTTGGAGCGATAAAGGACGCGAACCTGAAGAGGAAGGGATGATTTGTTTAGCGGCGCGCCGGGGTGGTGCTCACGGAAGTGGTCTCCCATCGGGGTCCCTTCGGATGCGCTCAAGGCGTCTCGTAAATGTTCGTTAAATCTTAGTCGAACAGGTCGTTTTGTCTCGCCAATATATGTGCCGTCGTCACCCTTTCCTTCACACAACTTACAATTTAGCCTGTAGACGACGTTCTTCTGTGTACAATCACCTGAAAAATCTGATTTACACATGTTGCATCGTGGGCCTCCAGGGCAGATAGGTTTAGATAGTGATGATCTAACCAGTTTGTTTCGTAGCTTTTGGGGGTTCCTCCATGCTATCCTGACAGCTAAGCCAGATTTCCTAACTTTACTTTGAATTTTGCATAGCAGTTCTTCATCTATGTACGGTAAACATAAGAAGCCATCTTCGCCCTTGTCTCGACTAACTTTACCCATCCTGGATCTGGACCCTTGCTGTTTGACCTCCCACAAGAGCCTTCTAAGAACTTTCTCTGGGTACCCATTTTGAACCAACAATGTCCAAATCTTGTCTATACTCGCCCTCTCTTTAGCACTGCTCGAAGAGTTCCTGATCGCTCGCCGAAACTGACTACGGACTATGTTTTGTTTAGTAGACTTCGGGTGGGCTGATTTATAGTGCAGGATGATCCCTGAGTTCGTAGGTTTTATGTAAAGTTCCGTTTCAATCTTCGTAACCTGGCCCTGGGTCACTACTGTCACTAAGGTATCTAGGAAGGCCACACCCGACTTTGTACCGGAATGCTCCATGGTAAAGCGGAGTGTCGGATGAAGCGAGTTTAAATGCGACAGAAAATCTACTAAAGCCTGCTCTCCATAGGTCCACACGCCTGCGTAATCGTCAATGTACCGAACCAAAAAGGACGGTTTCTGATCCAGGTTTTCTAACGCTTTGCGCTCAAAACGATCCAGAAAGAGAATGGCTATGGGAGGGGCACATGGATTGCCCATAGCGATCCCTAGTGTTTGTCGGTAAAATTTATCATCAAACCTAAATACGTTCTTGGTGAGACAATGCTGAAGGAGATGTTTAATATCATCCTGGGAGAGACCGAAGGTATCCACCTCATCCTGGTGATACCTTCGGTCTCTCCCAGGATGATATTAAACATCTCCTTCAGCATTGTCTCACCAAGAACGTATTTAGGTTTGATGATAAATTTTACCGACAAACACTAGGGATCGCTATGGGCAATCCATGTGCCCCTCCCATAGCCATTCTCTTTCTGGATCGTTTTGAGCGCAAAGCGTTAGAAAACCTGGATCAGAAACCGTCCTTTTTGGTTCGGTACATTGACGATTACGCAGGCGTGTGGACCTATGGAGAGCAGGCTTTAGTAGATTTTCTGTCGCATTTAAACTCGCTTCATCCGACACTCCGCTTTACCATGGAGCATTCCGGTACAAAGTCGGGTGTGGCCTTCCTAGATACCTTAGTGACAGTAGTGACCCAGGGCCAGGTTACGAAGATTGAAACGGAACTTTACATAAAACCTACGAACTCAGGGATCATCCTGCACTATAAATCAGCCCACCCGAAGTCTACTAAACAAAACATAGTCCGTAGTCAGTTTCGGCGAGCGATCAGGAACTCTTCGAGCAGTGCTAAAGAGAGGGCGAGTATAGACAAGATTTGGACATTGTTGGTTCAAAATGGGTACCCAGAGAAAGTTCTTAGAAGGCTCTTGTGGGAGGTCAAACAGCAAGGGTCCAGATCCAGGATGGGTAAAGTTAGTCGAGACAAGGGCGAAGATGGCTTCTTATGTTTACCGTACATAGATGAAGAACTGCTATGCAAAATTCAAAGTAAAGTTAGGAAATCTGGCTTAGCTGTCAGGATAGCATGGAGGAACCCCCAAAAGCTACGAAACAAACTGGTTAGATCATCACTATCTAAACCTATCTGCCCTGGAGGCCCACGATGCAACATGTGTAAATCAGATTTTTCAGGTGATTGTACACAGAAGAACGTCGTCTACAGGCTAAATTGTAAGTTGTGTGAAGGAAAGGGTGACGACGGCACATATATTGGCGAGACAAAACGACCTGTTCGACTAAGATTTAACGAACATTTACGAGACGCCTTGAGCGCATCCGAAGGGACCCCGATGGGAGACCACTTCCGTGAGCACCACCCCGGCGCGCCGCTAAACAAATCATCCCTTCCTCTTCAGGTTCGCGTCCTTTATCGCTCCAAAGACCACCCGGACAGAAAAATCGCAGAATCCCTACTTATAAAAGCAAACCGCCCGCACATAAACTCAAATCTTTCGTCGTGGCCAATCATGTAAGCGCCTGTATCATGTGTATCTTGTGAGCGTGTAGCCTTTTCAACTCAATCGATTAATATGTGTATGTGTATATTATTTTGTTATGTGTGTGATGTACATCGGCGTTAGTGTACATACCTTCCATACGATGTGTGTTTGACAGCTACGTGTACAATTGTATATTATGTATGTTACGTACATCGGACACTATGTAGACAATCGGTCTATCAAATAGTTTGCCCTTATGAGTAGCGCCTTTCCTAAAATATCACGATCTTCGGTTTTTGAAAAATGGCAGACAGATTATTCACAGGATCGTCTTTTAACATTGTTATCACGTTGGTTTGATAAAGGCCAGTGGCCGAAAGCTCACCGTTTTTTAAAATATATTATTCGGCTTTTTACATTTTTGATGTCGAGGAAAAGGTCAACTTCTTTTATTTATCTAATTATATTCAATATGTTCCTCGCTCGAGCACTTAGTAATATTACCTGACCGGAAAATTTGACTGAATGAACATTTGACTGAATGAACATAAATAGCTGAACGCAAGGTAGCCTGGCAGAAAATAATAATGTTACATGTCGGTCTGTGCTCATAATCTTATACAACATACACTTATATGTTGGAAAGATTCGTGTATTTCCCAGGCATTCTATAGAATGCCTGAAAATCAGGCATTCTTTAGAATGCCTAGGGATTCTATAGAATCCCTGGTGGGCATTCTATAGAATACCTAGGGATTCTATAGAATGCCTGGTCGGTCAGGCATTCTATAGAATGCCTAGGTATTCTATAGAATGCCTGATTCCACACATTGCCTGTAACACATACATTTCAATTCATTTGACTCGGTTGTTATTCTCGTGTTTTCATTTCCTTCGGTATTCTCCCAACGTTATGCCTATAATATAAAGAACTAATAAATAACACAAACATACATACACAAACACGTATAAGATCACTTTCACTGATGTATGCATCAGATCCTAGACAAATCAGTGACGATTGGGATCGAAAGTATGAAAGCGGCGGATTCGAGCGCCGATTTCTGCATATCTTCCCTAGATGGCGCTAAGTGAGCGCCTGAAGGGATGCTGTGCCGCATGGCGTGGGTTTCGGGCGCCGACTTCCTCCTACTCTCCATAGATGGCGCTAGTAGCGTGCGCCTGAAGTGATGCTGTACCGCATAACGTGAGGGCTCTGGCCAAAGCGGGCGCTCGGCTGGGTCGAAAGCTAGCGAGTCGGCCAGGATTTGCCTTCGTTATTGAGTATATATTGATAATATTGTCGAATACGCTTTCTTCTTCCGTTTGCGACCTGCACCAGCTCCCAACAGCCCACCAGCCGCTGTTCTGCGCCACCTGACCCCACCATTTCTGTTTTCAGAGCGGTAGTCTGGGCCGGCCAATCCACCCCGGCATGCCACTACCAGCAGCCACTACAGTGACGGACCCTTTCGGCTCCGATCGGGAAAGTGTAGTGTAGTAGTGCATTGTGTCGCGAACGGCGGACGAGGGCGCTGTCGCCGCGGCAAAGCGACGGGACGAAAGCTGGCTGCGCCGGTGGCGGAATATCGAAGAGCACGGTAACGGCAGACGAGAAGACACCCAGCGAGCTATGTGGGCCGCTCCGGACGCTGGGAAGAAACTGACCAGTGGATGCTGGTTGGGATGGCCGAACACCAAACCTTCGCTGGCCTCTGAGACAGCGAAGGATAATCAGCTCTTGTCCAGGGCCAGGAACAAACGTAAGGTGCGAGTGGAAGGTCGCAAAGTCGCAGTGCGTACATGGTCGATGTCGCAAATTGGTGTTTTCACTTTGATGTTTTAACTACCAACGTGACTCGTTAAAACTTAAAAACGATCTCCGTGCGAAGTATTCATTTTACATGTCAACTTCAAAACGTTACCGTGTACAGGGTGACACAAAAAAGCGGTCATCACCAAAATTCGAATAACTTCGGAAGTTTTATTCAGATCATCACCAAACTTCGGCCACTTTAGGTCACACCTATGTAGCATACATCCACCAAGTTTCAAGTCTTCACTACGAATACTTTTATTACAGTGTGTGTTTTACGGACGCTCCACAATGTGCTCCAGGTGAGCGCCCCGGCGCTGCAGTGCGTAGGCACACCTGCATCCGGCGGGCAAAGTTGCCGATAACCCGATAAGAATAACGTTTCAGGGGTAGCACACCCCCTGAGCACTGCTCCAGAGGCCATTGCACTCTGTAAAGTGCACAGCCATCGGGTTAATCGGGTTATCGACAACTTTGCCCGCCGGATGCAAGTGTGCCTACGCCCTGCAGCGCCGTGGCGCTCACCTGGAGCACATTGTGGAGCGTCAGTAAAACACACACTGTACTAAAAGTATCCGTAGTGAAGACTTGAAACTTGGTGGATGTATGCTACATAGGTGTGACCTAAAGTGGCCGAAGTTTGGTGATGATCTGAATAAAACTTCCGAAGTTATTCGAATTTTGGTGATGACCGCTTTTTTTGTGTCACCCTGTATTTATTCCTGTAACGAACGCGTGCCCGCAGCAGTATGTGATGGTTCTCTGGGCTGATTTCAGGCTCCGGTGGCAGCGCCCGAGCCGCGAGTCTGACCCAGGCAGGCTCTCCGTCCGCGCGCGGACTCCGCCGCCGCCGGAAGGTCGCACTTGTTAATGGTGCACACGCACACCGCGCCGTCGGACAGCAGAGAAAGTATTTTTGGGCCGACGCCGCGTCCGGGAGCCGCGCTCGGCCGTTTGTCTATACGTAATCTTCCGCGAGTGTGCGCTGCGTGCGCCGCAGCCGTCGGCTTGTGTCGGTGCGTTGCCTGAACTGCGCCTCCTGCAGGTTTCAGCTGGAGTCTATCGTATTTGCTGGCCTGTCAGAGACACACAGGCGGCTTGCCAAGGCCGTTTCGCAAATATTGGCGAGGCTCGCCGTCTTGTGGTAGGCTGGGACGACTGCGGAGTGCGGAGCCGGAGCTGGGTTCTGTGTGGCGTGGCGGGGTGGAGCACGGCTTCCACGGATTCGCCGCAGTCGCGTGGGTGTCCTGGCGTGCCGCTGGCCCCAACAGGCCGCTGGGTGACGTTCAGACTTCCGTCGACCGTCACAGTCGCCACCGTGACGGCAGTGTCACGGCGTGACCCGACGGCGGCAGTCAATCATCACACAGCGCCCTAAATCATCACTAAGCAGACCGCGCCGTCACGCGCTCGTCCATGGCTGGTGTGGTGACGTGAGGTCCAAATTTCCCGGCCCTCGCACTCTGCCAATGCGACTCGCCATGCTCCGGCTCCGGCTGTGTGTGTCGTGCAGGTGCTACCAGCTCCTGGAACTCAGGAGCGGCGCGGCGACGTGGGCCGCCGGACAGTCCCAGGTGGGCTCTGCATCCGGCCCGCCCCCCGGTTAGAGCGACGACAAATGTCAGGATTAGGAAATACCGAACGGCTCGCCAGCTGCGACTCTCGCTAACTGTGGTGCAGGATGTGTTCTGATCTCGCGAGGTGTTCATCGTTCATTTGTCGCGCACAGTTGCTCGGACACTCATTCATATCATACTTTTTTACATGCTGTTTGAATGTGATGCGTCTGAACGATAGGATGTAGGTAGGGTGGGGGCCCACAAGGAACTGTTCGCGCGGGACATATCTACTAAAATGTTTGTGGTATACTTGGCATATCCGCGCATTTATAGATGGCAAACCTCGCAATGAAATCATATAAGCCGGCTTGAAAGCTACGCCTACTTTGGGTTTAATCGTCCAAGTGCTAAACATTTCAGACTGTCAGCATCGCCAGTCTGCATATCCATTTCAGCGATCATTTATATAACCCATTCGTCATATCTTTGACGCATATCTGTGGAACATGGACGTATGTGCGATAATGTGAGCGTGTGGTCGTGACAGCAGGCAGGCCGGGCGATTAGTGTGCTACGGGCGGGAGGGTCCCTCGCCGTGGGTGGATCTCACCCCATGTTGTATACCGTCTACTCGTGGTCATGTCGTTCTGCTGAGTGTGCTGAGTGTGTAGGATTGTCGCTCACCAATCGCGCGTCGGCGGCCGAGCCCGGTGGTGAGCTCTTCTGTAATGTGTCTCATTGATATTTTGAACAGCATCAATCGCATGCTTCTTGATAATATATGGAATGTAGCAATCCGAGCTGTTTGTCGTTTCATAAAAGCCACATCACAGTTACAAGAAGCTGCATTAGGCGCCAGCTCCACTCCTGCGAGGGCCGTAATCCTCAGTGCGCACTCGATCCTAAGTAGACTTTAACAAGCTCAGGTACGCGCGCGTATGCTGCGTCGTCGTTCCCTGGGCCGTCGTTGAGCCGGTACTGAGGCGACGGAGCGCAGACTCCGTCATCGATCGGCGCTCATTTCGGCTCACCGGTCCGGCGCTGAGTGGCACAAATGGTGCGTGCGATGAGCCGCCGCCCCCGCTGAGTGCGGCCCACACTGTGTGTGATCAGATACGAACAGATAATATACGGATGTCGCGGCTGAGACAGCTCCGTACGACGAACGCTGTCGTACTTAGCGCGCCGTATATATAGCGTCTTGTGCCATAGCCTACAACTTTGGTCATTAGGGATAATGGTTGTAGCGGGTACCTACCACACTCACGTCTCTGGTTCCGATGAACTGACACTCTATTGAGGACAGAATTAGCTTAGTTAAGAACTTCTTTTAGTGTAGGACGTGACATGAATGATACTCGTCAAAGCCTTGAAGGTGTGGTTGTGGGTTGTGCTCACGAGGACGTTACCAGGGACTTCCCAATGCCGTTTACCTAGATGCAGTAGCACCAGACAGCTGAGCCGCTGAAAAGTGGCATTCGATCGTGAGCATTGCTGTAGTGGTTGCCTTTGTAAAGGTTTCATTATATTTGAAAATGTGAATTATAATAGCAAATAATAAAAACCCTGCGGTACCCTGATATGGATTCGATTCGTTAGAAAATCTGCTTAGGTCTGAGACATGTGACGCCTACGGCCTAACCGCATTCGTATAAGGTGTAATGAGTGCATACTTTTTTGTCAAATTTCTATGTTTACTAAGCACAGGATATTCGTTACCATCTGTGTCAAGCGATGTTCTCATTGCATCCGGCAATCGTCAAAATGTGTTGGTAAGTGGGCGTAAGCAATAACACGAACACAAGGGTAAACAAGGTGCACTTTGCTTCGCATTGCTTGAATATCCTCGCCCGTCAAAAATATAAGTCTTCAATTAGCTGGACCCCACCGTTCTTTCGCCCCTCAAACTCGCGATAGGCAACGTTTGCCAGCAATACGGAGCTTGAGAACCCTGGTCCCCTGGCGGTGGACTCGAGAAGCTACTTCCACTGGTGAGCTGTATGAAGATGGCGACAGTGTCGCAAGTCGCAACAGAGACCCAGCACTGAACGGGAACATTATTATGTGTATGAGCCTCACGGAATATTTGTTGGCCATTAGGAATACAAAGTGCCGAATCATCACGCTCAAATAACGCCTGTATTATGGTGTAAGCAAGTGAGAGACGAAACATTCAAGTGCCGTTGTATTGCAGCAAACGTTCTAAATTCGGTGCGCCAAAAATGCACTCGCTCTCACTTCAAAGAAGGGAGCCCAGGCCAAAAATACCGAATTAAAGAGCTGGTTAATCACTTCTCCACCCGTGATCACATGCGAACCACTCAAAAAAGTCGACTGAAAGTTCCTCAGAGCTACGAGTAAGTCCCTATTCATGCCTGGCAGCTGCATAGTCCGCCCCTCCATAACAGCGATCGAAACAGTCGGTGGACAAAGCTGCTTGGTATTGCTCTTGATGTAATGTAAGTCAGCGTCACACAAAAAGATGGCTACATGATGATTGGTGAGATCAATACCATCAACACCCATGGGCGGGTTCGTCGATAGCTTTGCTCCAGCTTGCGTTGCCCTCGGTGGCTGATCGATTCCTTCAGACGTTGTGGCGCAGAACAGCATTGTCAGACAGTAGCACGGCGATAACTGAAATGGTGGAGAAGATCGGTCAGTGGTGGATGACAATTATGAAGTATCGGCATTTGGTATCTAGAAATACATAATGACGGTGCTTATTGGTCATTAAATTGCTAAGCTTACGTACTACGTACATAGGTATTGCCAAAGGGATAATGATGATATTGTAAGTACTCTGGTCACAAAAACTACCTCACTCTGGAATGCCAAGTATACAAGTGAGACCGGTATTCCCCTGATTTGGTAAATCGATGGAAAGTTGTGTGATATATTCAGACCATTGTCATTCGCCGGTAATTCGTAGCAGGACTAATTGTATGCAACTGGTGAAGGCAGAGGCGGATCCAGCTCAGAGGTTTGGGGGGGGGGGCAAACCATAAAAATTTATCGATTCTTTCCATGCATCGTCCATAGGCGTAATGTTAAAATCATGCCGTTTGGGGGGGGGGGCAAATGCCCATTTTGCCCCCCCCCCCCCTGGATCCGCCACTGGGTGAAGGAATAACTATAGGTGCGTGTGGTTATACATGGTGCAATGTGTTTCTAAATACGCTTCAAGCTGTCGAGTCTCGAACCGAGAACGTAATTTCGAAGGATATATTTCAATTAATAAATTATACATAAAATACAGCTGTTCTAACTGTAATGTTATTGTCGTTTTATATGTTCGTTTGGTTGGTTTTGCTGCAATGTTTAAATAATTTAAGCATTTAAACTTCAATTAGAAACAAAAGAAACGTTAATATGTATACCGTTATAAACAGAAATCGATAGCAATAGATTTTAGGAACACCAAGCGTTCTGCCATTAGGGCGGTTATAGACATAGTGCTTTGATAGTTAATTAGTTAGGAGCCCCATTTAATTCGGCAACATTCGGCTATAAAATATTTTAGGCAATGCACAATGCACATAATTCAGCAACGCTAAATAAAACATGCGTCTGACTTACCCTCAGCAGCATTACTGGCACTCTCCAATCACCGCTCTTGGGCAGCACACAATCCGTTCCACTTCAAGCGCACTACTCCACGCACATCGGACCAGCGCATATCTGCCACCAGAAGATGACAGAGCACCGGCTAGATGCACATTGCAACACCGGCGGGTCCTCAAGGCCAGCAACACAGACGTGAAGGTCGCCCTGCCCTCCCACACAACTACCCAATCTCTCCCTCCCCCAGCCCCACCTTACCCCATTTGGACACCCCCTCTCAGATTGAGATGCGGACGAGATATCGACTGACATCCTGCAGGTTCCGCAGTGATGCAGCATTTATTTTATGCTCACCTGTCACCTCTGTCTTTTCTGGAGTACAAAAATTGTCAATCTTTTGCCCTGAATACCCTAAAGCTCCAGCCTTCAAGCTCCATGTCAGACTGAAAAGACTATTGTGTACTGTCTACTGAGAAGACTGCTGCATGTAGATGTGTTTAGAACGCAGGACGTGGTTATTTCTCGTCCAGTAAGTTGTATTTCTCGTCACGTCCCAAGGTCGTTCGTGGTTTGTTAGTCGCACGTCGATCGAATATACCTAATGCTGCTGCGGCCGTCAGCCTAGCTAGCCCGATGTGCTGCAGACCACACTCACAGGCCAGTTTGCCAGTTGAGTGCACGGCGGCGTCAAGTGGAGATTCAAAGCGAGCATCACTGCTGAGTGCTTGCGCTCATTCTGACGGACATTGGAGAACATGGAGTAAGTAGTTGAGCGCAACATCCTGTCCATTGCGATATCAAGGTGTAGGTAAGATTTCACGTGAATAGCTTCATTCATTGGTTTCGAATTGCATGATACTGAAAATTAGGTGGCTGTCCCGATAGACCGCAAAACAGTTGAATCGCAACCGTTTTCAGGTAGATTACCATAACCGAAAGTTATCCACGGAACTTTGTCAAATTGACCACGAGACCACGATGCCTCGCGCCCTGACGGGGTCTCGGTCTGTCCCAAGGAAACCCGGCCTCCAACATGGTCAAAGGGTAATGGCTCCACAGGCCGCATAGCAAACAGGCGACAGGCCGGCTGGCGGTCGTAACCACCCAGCTGCAGCACGTTTGAATACGTTGACACCCCGTTAAATAGGCCTGCCGGAAGCGGTAATATTCCCAAGCGACCAATGCTGCATGGGATTTCATCTACAATGTAATTGCACTTTTAAATAATCCAAACAGATATTTTGATCGGATGTGAATTACGATGTATGTGAAGCATGGCCCTTTTAGAATTAAGCTCATTCTCTTTGTTCACGAATAGGTCGTTACACTATATAATTCCACCTCTTTAAATTCATGGGCCTTCACAAACAAATATAGGGCCATAGGTTAACTTCATTCAAACCGTACCAAAGCTAATGCATAACAAGACAGCATATGTTGGCCGGTCTATTGGTCAGCTATCTGTGCAATAGAATGATTGATAATGCATTTTACATGACATTAACCCTATTAGTGGCAGGGGGGGGGGGGTTGTTTTCATCCACCCCTCAGGTTTTTCGGGAATATCTCCGAAACCGCTGAAGCTACGATGCTGAAATTTTCTGACTTTTCCTAAAACTAAATTGGGCACATTCCCTGAAAATTTCAAGTTCATAACTTTACCAAGGGCGGCTCCAGAGCACTGGGAATTGGGGGGTCCTATTCGTGAAGCGAGTCATTTGGGCGATGATCACGATGCTGATGTATTATAACTGTATGCACCAGTTTTATCATGTGATAACATATACAAAGTTATTGTGCATCCTCTTTTGACACGTTTTTGCTATAATAGGCGGATCCAGGCGTCCAAAAAGGGGGGGTTATGTTTTACCTCCCAACATAGGTGCCCTGACACCGCCTATGCATGACCAATACAATTGTAGTCGTTCTCTCATAAGAAAATTGTAACATAACAAGACCATTACCACCCTTTTTAGAAACAGTACCAACAAAAACCTTATTTGCTATACTTTTTGTGTACCCCCAATCTCAATGATCTGTATCCGCCTATGATTTTTGAAAATGCATATTTTTAGGATCCATGTGAATTCCTGGTTCATTCTTTATCGATCGGCAAAAGTTGCGTTAAGATTGGTTCAGAAACCTGGCCGTGATAAGCAGTCTAAAATGTATCTGCAATTTGCCCGTTTTTACCCCCCTCAACCCCCCTTTTGACATTTTCTTAATTTTTTTTTTAGAAATGTAGATCACGTTGAGCGAAGTCGAATGCCGTTTGAATTTTGAAAATCGGCCCGTTAGATCTCGAGATATCAAGGGGGGGTCGTAAACAGCCCCCCCCTGCCACTAATAGGGGTAGCCAGGAGCCTGCCACTAATAGGGTTAAAGGGCCCGGAGTCGGACCCTAGACAATATGAATTGAATTCAAATATTATATAAATGTAGCGAGTATTAATTTTTTTTTTTAATAAGGCAAATGAAGAGGATAAGCTGAAAAAAATGAAGAAAGAGAACAAGGCACCATAATTATATCCAGATCACTGACACGTTGTGAAATAATCATCGATGTTGAGAAGATATTTTCGACAGTCCATGAAACTGACTGCATCCGGTTCTCCGGATTACGTTCTCAGAGTCAGTTACACGGAAGCAATGTACGTTTTAAGAAGTTGTTTAACCACAAAATATCTGATATGAGCTTGTCCTTGACCGTATTCACTGCTGTTCTTACTATAATCTTCTTTCGACCTCATCAGAAGTTATATCTCGTCTCGGTACCAGTCATGTCTCTTTCCAAAATAAATACGCCTGCACCAAGCATCAGGAACTACAATAACTTTACCACAAGTTGAGCGGTTTTGTGTTATCCCGCGTCCCTGACATACATACACACTGCAGCGGCTGCCAAATCCGTCTTCTCGAGAAGCCGGCTGACGGCAGCTGGCTGTCCTGAGTGGATCTGCACCCGTGAGCCTCAGTCGGCCCACAGCCGCTGCAGCGGATAGTCATGGCAGCACCGCGTCTGATTTTCGCGCTAAGTTTGTGCGTGCTGTGCAGCTGTTCCTTGTTAGACCCCTCGGCGGCCGAACAGTCAAACACGGGGTCGCAGTGGGTCGACGAGTCGCCCATGAGCAGTAAAAGGTGTGTGAGTTTGTTAACAGTAAAAAAAAATATGAAGTTTTTTTTTGCAAAACAGCAAACCGATGTCTAAAAGATCTTCGATGCGATTGATCTTTCTTATGTTGCAAATTGCATGTTTGTGATATGTAAATGGCTCACTGAGACACGTTTTGCAATCATCTTGCTTTGTCGTTCATTAAAGCTTGTCGTGATCGGCAAAGTAAGACTCATGTTCGAATCATTGCTACATAAACGTTACATATATTGACTTTTCATTGTATCTTTCAACAGGTCAGTAACGACAGCAGGATCGAAATCAAACCCAAACAACAAGTGGAATCTGGCGCCGTGGGACGAGGGTGACTCCTACTCGTTCGCCATTCCTCCGGAGGCAGTCGTCACTTCCACACACCTCCAACTCCGTGTCAACTTCGAGCAGCAGGTGTTGACTGGCTCAGTGGACCTCCAGATCGAGCGCCGTGACCCTGTCGCCGAACGGGTGGTGCTCGACACCCGAGATCTCCACATCACAGAGATCACCGACCCGAACTCTGGCGCAGCGCTCGACTGGAAATGGGGCGAGCCGGACCCTGCACTGGGCCGGCCTCTCTTTGTCCAGCTGCCGCCTGGAGAGTCTGTACGGGTGAAGATCGCCTACAGCACTAGCGCCAACAGCACCGCGCTGGCGTGGCTGACTCCGGAGCAGACGGCCGGCAAAAGGATGCCGTACATGTTCTCGCAGTGTCAAGCAATCCACTGCCGCTCCATGGTGCCCCTGCAGGACACTCCGTCTGTCAAAATGAGCTACACAGCCGAGATTACTGTGCCCGTCGGTATGACAGCTCTCATGTCCGCGCTTCGCGAAGGTAACGAAACCACCGGCAACTGGACGACCTTCCGATTCCGACAGCCTGTGCCGATTCCGTCCTACCTGATCGCGCTGGCGGTCGGCGATCTGGCCTCACGGTCACTGGGCGAGCGATCCAGCGTCTGGGCTGAGCCAGAGCTCGTCGATCGGGCCGCTCACGAGTTCGCCGAGACGGAGCAGATGCTGCAACTGACCGAGACGATTCTAGGCCGGTACGTCTGGGGTGTGTATGACTTGCTGGTGCTGCCGCCCAGCTTCCCCTATGGAGGCATGGAGAACCCGTGTCTTACGTTCGTCACACCGGCACTTTTAGCCGGAGATAGATCCATGACTGACGTCGTTGCACACGAGATCATCCACAGCTGGATCGGTAACCTGGTCACCAACCGCAACTGGGAACACGCCTGGCTCAACGAGGGTTTCACCAAGTTCCTCGAGAGGAAGATCCTCGGGAAGTTACACGGAGCTCCTGTGATGCATCTCACGGCATCCAGCGGCTGGAAGGAGCTCAATGACACCGTGCAAACGATCGGCATCACTAGTCCCCTCACCTGGCTCGTGCCGAGGTTGAAAGGCGTTGACCCTGAGGATGCCTTCTCAATCATCGCTTACGAGAAAGGCCACACTCTGTTGTGGTATCTCGAACAATTCATGGACGGAAGTGACCAGATGGAAGCATTCCTGAAATCCTACGTGAACAAGCACAAGTACCTAGCGGTCGACTCCGGGGATTTCCTCTCTTATCTCTTTGAGTACTTTTCCAAGGGATCGAAGGACTCTCTGTTTGCTGAAGTCGACTGGAAGGCGTGGTTCGATTCTCCCGGTATGCCACCCTACACGCCGGTGTTCGACACATCTTTGATCGACTCCTGCAGTCGACTGCGTCAGCAATGGGTCGACTGGAACGAAACAAGCCCGGCGCCTTTCTCATCTGCTGACATCAACGCTCTCTCGACCATCCAGATCATCGAGTTCCTGTCGCAGCTTCTCGAGCAGCCACCACTGACGCTGACCAAGCTGAAACTGATGGAGCAGCTCTACGACATGAACGCGCGCGCTAACGCCGAGATCCGGTACCGCTGGCTGAGACTGTGTGTCAGGGGTCGGTGGAAGGAGCAGGTGCCGGCTGTTCTAGAGATGGTGAACACCCACGGCAGGCTCAAGTACGTCCGACCTCTCT